GAGGCCGCAGGGCGCGAGGGCACGGGCCATGGCCTCCCTTCGGCCCCGCTTGGCCGCCTGCCCGGGGCCGCGAGCGAGCGGTGCCGCCTCGACGGCCGCAGAGCTGGGCAGGAAGCAGGGGGAGGCGGCGAGTCGCGCAGGCCGCAGCGCCTTTCTTCTCCAGGGGGAATGGCAGAGGGGAAACAAATCTGCGCCTCGCCAGCTTCCCCTGCTTCCCCGCCCCGGCGGCTCTTGGCTGAGCTCGGGCAGGTCTCGGAGGTCTCTGCTTGCAGAGATCCTCTGCAGGATTAATTGTTCATTGTCCGAGTTGGGGGCTTCCACTGGCTTCCTGGACAGGCTGCTTGGTAACCTCCTGGATCTCGCTCTTGCTAAATGTGTCCCACTGTTCTCGTCTGGCTTTGATACAGCTCTCATCACTGTGGTATCTGAACATCTCCCAGCAGTACGCTAGGGAACATGACTAACATCTGGCACGCATGCGGCCCTCTTTCCTTTTTCCTCTCCCCAAAGCAGAGTGCTTGCAGCCGAGTCTCACCATTGTTTTTCTGCTCTATTTGCAGGAATGGAGGATGGCATCCTGTCACTGGAGGGGAGGAGAAGTCTGTGGTGTGGAGATCCTGTGGAGTTGCACAGGCTGGAATCAGCATGATTGTGTTTTGGAGCCCCTTGGACTAAGATCCAGATGCGCACATTAGGTACCTGGACCAGAGAGAGTCAGGCACTAAGGGTAGGATCCAGCAGAGCAAATATGCCATGGAAAGAGCTACATAGTAAAAAACACAGGAGAAAAGAGGACAGATCTGGGTGTTGGATGTGTTAGCTGGGGATGTTTTGGAGAACAACATAGGAGAACAACATTAACACCTTATATTGGGCTCATGTTGCTGGGTGCATCCTAAGTGCCGTCTCATCTAACTACTGCTACTCAAGAGTATCTGACCAGAAAGCTTTCTGTTCATGAAGCTCAATAGGATTGAAACTTACCTTTCTCATAAAAAGTCAATCTGGGGATTGACTTGGCCATATCTGGGGAGAGAAACTTACTTTCTCTCATGCTGTATGTGTGACCTGGCATTAAAGAGTGACAGATGCAATGGTGTTTGTAGGGATCCATTGACAGAAGTCACAGCATCAATCCCTGCTCCAAACATTGTCTTTTTATTGAGTATAAATAACAGAAAGCTTCTGGAAGCAGGACCATGTAGAAGGACTTTCTGCTTCCAGGTGAGTTCTGCTGCAGGCTAAAAAAATTAGCTTTTTCTCTTGTTCCAGCTCAAAGAAGGTTGAATTCTTAGAGCATATAGGCCTGCTCTGAGGAGTTGGGGGACTGCTCTCAGCAAGTGCTGCTTCCTACCTGGTGGTCAGGGTACTATGGTGGGAAAAACAGGTTTGAGCTCCCTCAGGTTCAGGGACTGCATTAGGAGGCCAAACTAGGGCTTAAAAGAAAGCTGAAAACTTTACTGTTCCTCCCCCCCCCCTTTTTTTTTCCTGCCAGTCCTTGAAGGAGGATGAGGCCTGGGACAGAATAATCCCACAGGAACCAAAAACATTGTTCAGACTGAACTCAAATTTAACTTCAGCTAAAAAGAAAGAAACACAACCTGATTTCTGGATCCTGTTCAGACTTAGAAGTAGTCTGCACTAAACAGAAGTAATTTTCACTATTCCTAGGGGCATAAGCCATGGCAGCAAAGGACGTTGAAACATCAGATAGTGAAGTACACATGGGGCAGAGGTGACTTCAGGGGTAGGCAGCAGCCAAGCAAGGACTTTGAAGATCAGGACATTTGGAACTGTGAGCTGTACCGCACAGGAAACCCTGGAAGAAGTGGAGGAAGAGCATGATACGATCTTAGGAACCCATGACATTGAGAAGATGGATTGCCACGAGAGCTATCTTAAGTGTTTAGTACGATGATTATACAAGAAGACAAAAAAAATCTATTAACAAAAAATTACTTAATTTTTTTTCTACTTAGGCAAAAGCATTTCCACTAAGACACAGCAAATGCTGAGCTTATTGTTACTGATCCCGAATTAGCAGGTATTTTCCTTTTCTCAATACTTTTTCTTAATTGGTTATATATTTCCTTCTTCCATCAAATCTAATGCTTAGCACTCTCTATTCTCTCATCCATGTCCATTCCTTGTTTTGTTTCATTCCATTGCTGCATGGCCTGAGGGCTGCAGAAAGTGAAAAACATTTAGGTAGTACATTTGAAAGGTTTGTGCAGCCTCCCCACCCAGGGCCCAAAGTTGTGGAGTAAATTGCCAGAAACGATACTCCATAGAAAGGAAAGGAAGCATTGTGGAATCAGCCATGTTGTCGCATCCTAAAACCTGCGAAGCCACAAAACATGTTCTGTGGTTCCTCCGTGAAAACCGTTTTGACCAGAAGTGCCGCAGGGAGCCTCCCTGGCATGGGACAGGCAGAGGCCACCCCTCCTCCCTGCAGGAAGGACGCAGCTCAGGCCGTACGATGCTGCTCTGCTTGTTGCCCCGCGTTCCTCCTGCTGCAGACAGTGCCAGGCACCGAGTCGAGCTGAACCCATCTTTCCGCCCCCCGCGCGAGAGCTGCGGCTCTTCCTGGCTTTGTTCCACAAGTGCCAGTCCCGCTCCATGAACCTCCCCCGGGCCCCGGCGTGAGGCAGGGAGCCAGGCAGAGCAGCTGCGCTGGGCACCGGATGGCCTGTGCGCATCCTCCTCAGGAAGCTGCTCTGACAGACACAAACAGAAGCAGCAGCATATTCACATGTTTGGAGGGGCACGTAACTGTTGGCAGGTTTAAGGAGGTACATGTACTGAATCTCTCCAATCTCAGCATGCCAATGAATTAAAAACAGGCTAAATCCCTCCAACACATTGTGATTGATTTACTGATTGCATTTATCTTTTACAAAAAGTATGAAAAGATTTAGGCTTTGGGATAATAAGCAATTGATGGGGAAGTGCTGTCAACAGCTACAATCTGGGCTGCTGGAGGTCAACAGACCCAGACATGAAAAGGACCATAACCCTCTATGTCACACAGCTCCCACAGGCTGCTGCAGCACAGGGGCATTTCAGTCCCTTGGCAATCTGGAGATCTCTCCTGCCACCTCAACCCCTTTCAAGCTGGAGGTATTGGAGTTCTCAGTATGTGTAACATTAACAGCAGCAGGCAGGAGGCCAACAGGAGCTGCCCATTTAATATCTCTCTCTGCTGTCCCTGCTCTGCCTGCTTAAGTTATGGGACTTTGCAAGGGGAAATGCAGTTTACAGTATCTAGGACACTAGAAACTTGACCCTCATTCAAACAAGGCCTATAATGTAACAAAGGCCGATTATTCCTGACTTCTAACCAGAATCACAACCGAAGCAGAGCTGGACTGCCAAGACCCCTCTCTCAGTGTAAAGGAATGAAAGGGAGGGGTACGGAGGCAGATGGTGCATGTGAAACATGCTTTGTGTAGCTTTCTTCTTACCCACAGGTTTCTCTTGCACCTGTTGCTTCCACTCAAGCACTGAACTATTTAAAGACATTCTGCAAAAAGAGACGAGAGGGTGTGGAGGGTACGTGAGATGTGGTTCATTCTTTACATGCTTCTCTGTGCCCTAGTATCCTCAAGTCCTTGATTCCCCTCTGTAGGGCTTGTTTTCAGCTGCTTTTTCATTTTTAGGGCACTGCAAATCTTGCCCGCAAGAATCCAAGGTGGTTAGAGAATTGGGAAAATTGGCATCTGAAGGCTCAAAGCATTTAAAAGGGTTTTAATAGAGTGAAATGCCCTCAGGAGATGTTTCTGGAGAAAGTGTAAGTTCTATAAAGTAAAGGGCCAGGACTTGGGCATCGCATAAGCTGAAATGAACCACCGCCTCCACCATCAGATCAGATGACCAAACTTAGTAGTCACTGGATGTTTTTTAAGAACGTTTTCTCCCTTCCTTAAAAAAAAAAAAAAGGCAAAAAAAAGCAAGCCTTAATCCACTTTGGAGCGTTTCTCTCCAACAGCAACAGGAAAAGGTGGTGATTGTAGAGGAGATGAATTCAATCTTCTGAAAACAAAATCACAACTCAGATTTAGTTCAAGGTGGGGCAATAGCTGAAAGAAATAGCACCTCTTTCCATATCCTGTAGAAATGTTGTAGAACTGCTCATATTTTCGTTGTTACTCAGTCCTGTAGTCTTCCCTGTTCGCTGGGGAAGAGTGAAGTGCACAGCACTACAGAATATGGAAACAGATCTGTTCCCCACTGTTACCTGCAACAATATAGGCCAAAGAGCATAAACCAACAGCAGGTACCTGCCCATGTCTTCAGATGCAATTATGTTCTTAGAGAATACACCAGATGCTGAATGCTCACCAAAACTTTACTCATTTATTAGAAGTTTTGACTTTTGCAGGATGGTTTGAGACAAATGAGCCTGCTTATTAAGTATAAAAACCTTCAGAGCTATAGGAGATTCCAGAAGTACTGGAATCCTGAGCTTCCCTCCCTCAACAGCAAAGGGAATAATCTCTCCCTCCCACTTCTTTGCTCAGTCCAATCACTGTGGTCATTGGTTTAGGGTCTCTGGCCCATCTTCTTCAAGGTTCGATTCAGCTGTAATTAAAGAAAGCAGCAGTCAGAAAAATACAATGATTAACATGCTGGACTGTTCTCACCCCCAGCCTTAATCCAGTGCTTCTGCTGCTTCTCTCCAACTCATTTACAAAAGGATCCTCATAAAGGTGCAAACAGCACGCAAGGTAGGAGGGGGAACTAACACAATGGCCTCCTCTTCCCTAAGACAGCAGGGTAAGGGCTGGGGAGGATATTTAGCAAAGGAAGACTAAGAAGGTAACCCTTAGCTAGCTCCTGCTCACATCCCCAGGGCTCAGGATTGTGCTGCACAGGTTTCCAGCCAGCAGCAGCCTCTGCTGGGAAAGCAGAGCAGGGACAGTGTTGCCTCCTGGCTGAGCACAAGGCTGATGTCACTGGTGCCCCAGGAACCCTTACATCTACTTTACGCAGCCTGGCAAGCAATGAGGGTAGTAATGTGACTTCGTTCCCGTTACTGATAGAAACACCACACCTGTTGAGGCACAACTGAGCCCCAATGAGGGAGCCACAGACCACAGGGAAGAGAACCTGACACAAGCCAACAACCAGGGGTGGTTAAAAATTGCTTCCCTTTTTACCCACCAAAAGGCTGAATCTTGCTCCCACTATCAGCACCCCTAAATAGTAAAAATCCTTCTCCTTTCCCAATGTGGCTCAGCTGGAAGAATGTCTCTCATACGAGAACTTAATGTTCCTCAAAGGCCACGAGCTGCTGCTTAGGTCACCCGCCTTTGGTCAGTGCCTGCGCAAGGCACCGCACAGCTTGCACCCTGAAGAGCCCCAGACTTCCCCCATATCTCCTACAGAGCCACATGATTCTGCTGCCCAGGCCTCACCTCCTCAAACTTGTGGATCTGGCGGATGAAGAAGTCCCCGTAGCGCCGAGCAACCTTTGTGTCTGCAATGTGGATCATGTCCTGGGGAGGGAGGAAGCCGCATAGTCAGGAAACTGGCAGAACCAGCAGGGAAACAGCAACCTCTATGAAATGGGAGGAGCAACCAAGGGGGCTTCCCTCTAGTCCTGATTCAGCATAAAATGTGTGCCTAGCCTGTACTAGTCCCAGAGCTACCTCATTTAGTTCCCTTTAGGCTGTCTTCCCTTCATCCTTGCCTGTGAAGGGCCCCAGATTCAAACCAGATTCACCTCTTGTGTTCTCAGCTTCTCCAGTCAAGCTCAGCCCCCTTTGCAGCAGCCTGATAGTCCCTAAGCCAAAGTCTGTCAGCCTTGAGTCACACTCTGCTTCCTTCTACTAACAGATAAGAACAGTGCTATCTACAAGGAGAGCTAGGCTTGCAGTGCAAGTCAGCCAGTTGTAAGTCAGTTGAATTCAAGGGACCAAGGGAGACAAAGCATGAATGACGCCTTGCAGGAAAAGGTCTGCTCTGAGGACCACAAGTCTGGAATAACTGGTTCCTCTAGCAGCTGTTGCTGCTGCTATCCTCTTTGAGGAATGAAAGGTGACGTCTTAAAAGACTTTTTTTTTTTTTTTTGACAGCCTACACTGCTCTGAGCAATAAGAGCAGGCAGATGACTGGACCATATCTTGAGTTTAGATTCCTAGCAGAGCTCCAGTGAAAAATGCAGCCACAACATGGCCAACTGAGGTATCACATTTATCAAGGAGAGATGTGCTGGAGACCTACAAAGCTGACAGTCCCACCTGAGACACTGACAGCACAACCTGTCACCCAACTATCACTTTCTGAGAGCGGTGACAGACCTACAGCTTCCTCAGACGAGGGCAAAGATATTTAGAACCTCTTTTTTCACCTCCTGGGTTCAATGACTGTCATAGCTGTCTACATTATACTGCAACTGCTCATGCATTGACACTTGCATTGAACAGCTTCATTATGGGCAGCCAAACCTTTCACATAACAGAGAAAGAAGGGATGTTTCCCCACAAACTGTACCCAAACCTGGTGTTCTCACCTCCAAAGCTTCCTGGCTGGAGGAAGGACAGGCTGGTAAGGACAGGAGGAGGCTGGTAAAGGAGCAGATACTAACCTTGTCAATATAGAAGTCTACCTCAGAGGCAGACTGGAACTCCCCATCCAGGGCAGAGATGCCACTGGTCCACACCAGGTTCTTCATCTTGTGCTTGAAAACAAGCAGCTGGATGCGAAATTCCTGCTCCGTCAGGTCCAAGAAGCCAGCCAGCTTGGCCACAGGCATGGTGGTGTAGAGCTTGAGGAAGCTACGAATGGTGGAGAGCTGGGCCTTATCACCAAAGACCTTGAGCTGCTGCAGGAAGGGCTCCTTGTGGTAGTTGGGGTGTACATTGTCATAGTTGGGCACCACAGGAGAGAGGAATTTGGGGCAGGCGTAACTAAAGAGCTCCTCATAGACTTGTGCGTCGCCCTTCTGCATGCGCAGCATCTTGTCCCCGTACTTCTCCCGCAGCTGCAGGTGAATGCTCTCGTCGATGCGCATGGGGTACATGGTGAGGGCGATGGCCAGCAGCGCGTGCATCTGCTCGTTCTGCTTGTTAATCTGAGGCAGAGAGGAGAAGCTGTTAACTAGCCAATGTGCTCAAGGCTTACAGAACAGGGAAGAGCTGGTAGGGAAGAGCTGGGAGATGCATTTTTCAGAGGCAGGCTCTTCACCTGGAGCACTGACAGTCACAATGCTCAAAGGAGACAACACAGAGAAACAGGGCTTCTGGGCAAAGCAGATGAACAAATATCTAGGGTACTGTCGGTGAAAAATAAAGCTGGAAAATGGGAAGGACAGTGAAGTAAACTAATCCACAGCCATACAGAATCTAGAAGAGGAGACAACACAGAGAAACAGGGCTTCAGGGCAAAGCAGATGAACAAGCATCTAGGGTACTGTCAGTGAAAAATAAAGCTGGAAGATGGGGAACGACAGTGAAGTAAACTAATCCATAGCCATACAGAATCTAAAAAGGCTTCTGTGCAAAAAAAGGCAGATAGGTTAACAGCCATGTCCTAAATAGAACTGGCAAGGAACAGCTATTAGGGAGGCCACTGAGGAAGACACTAAGAAACTGCATGTGGGATGAAACAGACAGCTGAATGGCTAAAACAGAGACAAAAATTGAGTGTCACTGAATTGGGAACCGCAGGATTTGGCTATGCAAGGAGTTAGAAATTAATCAGGAAGTTGAAGAGGAACAGCAGGAGACATATTGACATCAGAGGCAAGTTAAGAGTTAGGAGCTTTGTGTTAGTCGTGCTGAGTTTAAAAAGTTTGTGAAACATGAGACAATGGAAGCAGGCAGAAACATAGGTTTGGACTAGGACTGGAATCTGAAGAAGCACTGACAAGAACACTGGCAGCTAACTTCTAGTTTTCTAGCCTTTTTACCATCTCATATTTGTAGGTCGTCCTCTGAAACATGCTCTTGGTCCTCTGAATGTAGAGGAGGATGTTGGCAAAGACGCGGATAGCATCCTGGTAGCGCCGCATCATCAGGTACGCAAAGCCCACGTAGTAGTAGGTGGTCACCTGGCACTCGGGCACCCGAGAGTACATGCTCTGAGACGGACAGACATAAACCATACTACATTAGAGGGGGGACACTAAACAGCCCGCTACCCAGAAGCCAGCTGCCTCTGCACCCTTTCCAGTCCCACATATAGAAGGGAGGGGGTCACCTCCTACACTTCACTGTTAACAGCTTCCTTGCTATTGGAGTAAATCATCCCAATTCCTATGTTTTCCAGTTTCAGCTTCTTGCAAGATCTTGCACTATGCCTGCCACTGCTCTGCTCAACCTTGCTGCCCTTTCCCTCTATTTCAGTCCTTGCCTTGTGCCAGACAGCACAGGGGTGTATCTCTGCCTCTGATTTTTACTAGGCACTGCCATTGTAAGTCGCCCAATCCTAGGGACAGCACTGGGAAAGTGAGAGCAGGCATAATGAGAACAAGCAGGTCAAGAATAAAGAAATAAGCCATTAGTTTACCCTCGGGCCTATTCATTCCACTCTCAGGCCTACTCGCCCCGTTTAACCTTAGTCATTAACTAAGATGGAAACAACATCTATTTGTTGATCCAACTACATTTTGGTGCTTTTATCACTTATGATTCAAATAATAGTCCCCATAAGAAAGCTGCCTTGTGCAAATAAAACTCCTAAAAAGTTAACCTTATATGCTACAACGGCAACAGGCATTGCAACAAACCATCATACGGCTTGATTTAAGTGTAAAAGTGTGTTCAAGAGACATGTTGAATTCTTCCAGCTCCTCTTTCAGAGGAGTTCCTTACACCTACAACAGCTAAAACCAGCTCATCAGTTGACAGACTCATTATAGCAATCTTTCAGGAGGATACTTGAACAAAGGCACTCGAGAAACTGCAAGGGAGGGTTTAACAACATGTGCTATTACCTTCTTGTTAAGTTCAATGTTCTCTAGAACCTTGATAGCTTGGTAGTAATCCCCTAGCAGAGAGTGCAGACGCAGCAGACCAACCAGACTGAAATAACCCAACATCTTGTAGAGAGAGTGACGACCATATTCTCCAGCCACACTTTCAGGATCACCTGTAAATAAAAAATCATGTTGTTCTCCTCTAAGGGAACAAGCCTTCCTTCACACACCTCCATGCACACAGGCAAAGGGAATAAGACCTCAAGTGTAATCATCAACATATTTCAAGTAATAAGGCCAAGAAAACCCTCTTCCCAATAACATATCCAACTATCAAAGACAGAGCTTGGTCAAATCAGTGCAAGGCAGAAGAGACATCAGCCTGGCCTGGTATCACCCAGCCAGCTTACCTCCACTAGTGTAAACCTCCAGCTGTCGGTTGATGTTAGATTTGTCCACCAGAGAATGCAGCACGTTAAGGACACTGTGGACGTTCCAGATCTTGGGGTTAGAACGAAGGAAATCAATTTCTTCTTCAGACTTCTTAGCCGTCTTGCAGCGGTACTGGCTGAAGGACTGAAACTATAGGAAAAAGAAAAGATGACATTTGCTGATGAGACGCTAGCGTGGAAATGTTCATTTAAGTGCACTAGGCTCATAAGTTGATCATTCAAATCCAGAACAATAAACTGCAGGTCACATCAAAGAGTTTAATTTGAGCTCACTTGGCAACCAAGGCGGCAAATACGCCAGCATTAAAGTGCCTAGGGAAAAATCTGATAAAGCGCAAAGACAGCCTGAGGGAAAAGGCCAAAAAACAGAACCAAGATGTGAATGCTCTCTAGACAACTAGGTCAGAGAACTAGGCATAATTTTACTGTCTGAAGAGGCAGTAAAGAGAGTTACCAAATAAACATTATATATCTGCATATGCATGCATCTCTTTCTACCTCAGCTCAAGAAGACTGCATCTAAAATACTGTGAGGAACTCCACGCAAAAAAAAAAAAAAAAAAAAGCAGTAGCACTTAAGATCTGAATTACTGCATTCAGAACAGGAAGCAGAAAAATATCTCCCTAACATCAAAATCTAAGATCACACATTATTTCAAATAAGGACAATAATCTCTTTAAACAGCGCCCAGTTAACTTTAAAAGAGGCAAACCTACAACTACTTCGGCTACCTGATGACCCACTAATAGCAGTGCCTATATCAGTTTACTGACCCACAACAATATGGTAGCTACAAGAACCACAGCGAGGTGGAAGACACAATTTAATTGCACAAACAGATGCAAGACCACCCTAAAATGACCGAGTCATACGGTCACATACCTGGTATATGAATTCATCAATGATATCCCAGAGCCACTGGTTGGGCAGTTCCAGAGGAGCTGGACCATCAGCATCTGCAGAGGAACACAAATAATACATTAGAGGCAAAATCTCTGGAGCAAAAATAACAGTGGCTGGCATCAGATGCATGAAGCCTCCAGCAGAGAGGTGACGTGTAGCTCTGGCTACCTTTTTTAAAGTTGTAAAGTAGTAAGGATAGGGGGATAATCTCTGGAGTGGGACTGCTCAGCAACAGCAACTCTCAGAAGCTGCACAGATCCTAACATGTTATCCTCACTGATCTGTCCTCTGTGAGAAAAGCGCCAGGAAGTCAACAACATTTAAATTTGTCCCAAAGGGAGTCTGCAACTGTAAATAGCTGTGAAAGGCTGCAGCAGATATTTCCTAACTTACATCCTCATTTTTCTGTTTTAATGAAGATAAGTAAAGTATTTCCTTTTGTCAACCCTCAACAAGACAGAAAGCTTTAAGTTTATTTTTTAAAAATATTTCAGAAAGTACTGGAAGCATTTGGATTTTTTGTGATTTTAAAAACTCAGATGTTAAGTGCTCTTCCTTCAACAACCTCAAACATATAGAAAGCTCAGACTGCTTCCCCCATATGATTTATAAGTTAATGTGTTACAGTACTTCTTTTTCAACCCCTCTCCACTGCATAACCCCTCTTCTGCACAATTTCCCTCTGTAAAATTCACAAATGGGATGAATTGCAGGGACTCACTGAGGATGTAGTTGAAGAGATTGCAGTAGTTGTAATAGGACTCAAATCTCTGTTCCAGAGTGGGCCCCCCCTGCAATAAGAAGTCAGGACAATCTGTTTAGTTGCAGATATTAATTCATGGGCAATGGCATATAAAGGACAGACACCAGTCACACGAGCAGATGTTCTTTTCCGGTAATGTTAGAGTCAATACCTTGATTTTCATGCCTACCAACGCCACCCAGAAAACTTGAGATAATATCATTTGTGCCCAGTAGGAAAGATCTGACTTTCCATTTGCTGGCAGCAACTCCTAATGCTAAAGCATTCAAACCTCCTGTGAATGGAAGGCCTCATCTTTCCTTGTCCTCCTCACTGCTGTCCACACTCCAGAACTTCTTATTACTTTTCACAGCTTTCTGTCCTTCTCTCTTCATGAGAAGCCTTAACAAGCAATGACAATTCTGCTTCTAGACAATAATTCTAAACACCCTAAAAGACAAATAAATGTATTAAGGAATCACTCTTCCCAGAGCAGTCTTCCTTTTTTCACTTGGAGACACTTGAAGGCAGTCTGAGAACTACTAACGACCCTGCTCCAGAAACCAGTTTCTCCTGTTAGAGCCTGCTTTGGACTCAGGTTAACAGAGCAGTCCTTTTGAAGTCCGCATTTCTCCACCCACTGCTCCAAAACTGCAGTTATTACTCATCTAATCCATAACCCTTCACCACTCATCATCTTTTCTCAAACAATCATGAACTACTTTGTTTTTCCCTTTGTCTTCCAATTAGCTTAAAAATAGCCTAAAAAATCCTTAAGTCGCTTTAAGATCATTATTCTGTCTGTTTCTTGTAGGGTGCCCTCCTTTCCCTCTCCAAAAGGCACTCTGAAGCAATGCTTTCTACTCACAAATAACACAGCCTCCTCTTGCAGCACCCCTTTCTCACCTATTTGCCACTCTGAAGTACAATTGAAAAGCCACAACAGGGCACATACAACCTGATCTACAGGTCTTGCAGCTACAGCTGTACACAGAAGAAAATTAACCTATCTTCCAACATTTTTCTCTTCCCTAACTCACTAACTATAAGTCACTATTAGCAATGTCAAACTTTCACGTAAGAGCCTCCTCACAACACAGGCCAGGTTTTCTTATTGATATAAGTTATTAGGGAGGACTTTACACTCTTTTCAGCCAAGCTTGAGGAGACACACAACAAGCCTCAGAAAGTCAGTTGTCTTGCTTTTCAAAAATCAATGAATTCTTACTAAATTAACAAATTGCAAAAAATTTAAGCTTCCCTAAAAACAACTTGACAATACAGCTCATGAGAATAACCCATCTTGTTCTGCAAAATTTATAGGATCACTGATGCTGAAACAGGAAGGATTGGCAAGCTTTATAGTAAAAAGAAAACAAAATACTAGCAATATGTAGAAAAAAGGATAAATACTCACGCTGACTTTAGCATAGATGTGCCTATAATAAAGTTCCTTGTATAGGATCAGGAAAACAGCATCTGGAAAACATGACAGAACGGGTCATGAGCAAGGCAGAAGGCCCAGGCAAGTGGCTATATCAAATGCACTGATGCTATTCCTACTGCCACAGTGATAAAGAAAGGCACGAAAAGACGTTTCTTTCAGTTCTGACTTCTTGCCAAGCATCTATTCAAGTTGCTACAGTAACAAAACTCCCTGTCTCAGAAAGCAGCAACATCATACACCCACCTGCTCTCTCATGTATCAGATGTGATTCATGTTCCTCCAAAAAGCAAAAGGGAAGGAAGAGAAACACTTACCATTTCCAACCTGCGGGGCAATAGCTTCTGCCTCTGGCCATGGCGTATTCTTAAAAAACCTTTCAGTCAGCTTTGTCCAGCTACAAGACAGAAGCTCATGGTATTACAAAACCTTTCTCATTGTCAGCAAGATAGAGATCACAACATGGAGGATATTATTCCCTTTTCCTATTCCCAAGCGGAGTGTTCAAACAAGGAGCAAGAATGACAGACTAAGCAGTTAAAGCCTTTCAGTTATCCCTGAAGCACTGAACTGTCACGTAAGCTATTTCCATATACCCTTTATGTTAAGGCAGCACAGACACAAACAGTATTTTTAAAAAACAGATAAAACAATGCCACTCCAAAGGCCACCCACAATCTGGCAAAGTAGTGCCACTGAGGTCACTTCTTGCAGCCTGTCCCCTAGAAATAGGAGGGACAGTATCTTCTTTTAGATAGGTCACTACTCACCCAGACTTGTGCTACCCTACTGACCTAGAAACACCTACTCTTTCTCAGGATCAACCCAACGCTTGGGCTGTGCTGCTGTTGGGCCAGCGCAACACGTGGGTGCTGCCTTGAAGGGCAGACTCGCTCCTGCCGCAGCCCAAGGAGCAGCACCCTGGAGCGGGGACGGTGGCATCGCACCTGTTCTCGTAGATGTCCTGGATCTCGTAGACCTTCTGGTCGATGACGTCGCTGGAGACGCGGCTGGCCTGCAGCTCATACACCTTCTGGTCGATGAGGTCCGACACGGTCTTGTGGAAATACTGGATGAAGTTCTTGATCACCTCCGGGATCACCTGGTAGGTCTGCTGCTCGTACTGCCGCTCGTAGGCCAGGTCCTGCTTGGGGTCTCCTGCGAGGGCGCAAGGGCCATGAGGCGGCGGCCGCCGGGCCCGCGGCCCCGCGCGGAGGCCCCG